AGTTTACACAATAAATAAAATCATTATCCAAACATGAAAATTCAAGATTGGTTTTTTAAAGTGATCGATCCGTCAAAAACCACATTATTGATACACTATAATGGAAAGCAAGTCAACTCGTACCTTCGCTAACTCGTGCCATGTCAACTCGTACAAGTACAAGCCAACTTGTACCATTGCGAACTTGTAACACTGCAAACAGTACTATTACAAAGATACAATATACGAATGTTTTATGAATTGTTTTTTTAAATAATTTTATTTTATACAATATTTCATGGTAAGAAAAAATGTTATTGTTATATCAATTTACCTTTTGCAATTTGTAATATTCATTTCACGTCCCTGTGGTTTGAAATTTGATGACGTAGCCAATTTTGCGTTATTGATATGAAACATAACGAGAAACTCTCTTTTACGGTTGATATCAACTCTTTCGCCTTCTTTTATTGCTTTTATGTTTGTAAAAACACCTTTGGACTGGATGTTTCGACAATTTCTAGACCATGAGGCAGAGGTAACAAATATTTTTGAGTGAAAGATTAATGAATATTTTGTTTAGCCTTCTTGGTCTAAAAGACCTTGTGAACTTTTGTTATCACTTGGCGACAGTCGTTGTCGTAAACCTAAAAAAACATTTTTTCTCAGGATCAACTAGGCCAAATATTTCCAAACGTTACCTCATTGTTCCTTATCTAGTTAAACAAAATTATATGCTAAAACAAAAAGGGTAAAATGCTGGTTTTGGCTTTTATCTCAAAAGCTAAAGCAGGAAGAGAAATGATCAACTCGTCAAGGTATATTATCTATGTAGTTTCAAGTAAATTAGGACATCTCATTTTAGAGTTATTGTCCCTGAAATGAAAATGATTTGTAAGTTTTTAGTTATTATCTTGAAAACTGTTATAGAAAATAAGAAAACAAAAAAACAAAAAAACAATTTCCACGGTCAATTTGAAAAGAGGAAGTCCTTGAAAACTGCCAACATCACACGTTATCAACCAACAGAACGAGTGGAAAACAACTATCATATTCCTGACTTGGTACATAAATTGTGGGACGAAAATGGTGGGTCAAATCTGGTTCTATATAGCTAGCTTAACCTCTAGCCTGGACACTTGTTTATAGTCCCGTTATTTTGACAAAATTGGGTGAGTACTCCAAACCTATATAAGGGTTTACAATGACAATAATTAGGACCCAGCATTTAAAACTTTGCAAATATACATCACAGACATACACCTCAACTGATTAAAACAAACATACAGATAAATAAAAAAAGACACCAACAAAAAAGTTGTAGTTGATTGTAAAATGAAACACCGATTAAACATATTTTGTAGTTGATGATATATATTGTATACACTTTCTTGATAAAGAAACAAATTAGTAAAATATTAATACAAGGGTAAAAAAATGGAAACAATACTGTAAAGACGTCTTACCTCCGAATCGCACGTCAAGACCAACCTGCATCAGGAATGCCCAAAGTAAAAAAACCCGATAGCAAAATGCATGAATTCTGATTCACGTCATAAGTCATACGACCAAAATCAAACATAATAGCACGGAGACAATTACAAGGAAATGTGTAGAGAAAATAAAAAGATACACACTTTCAACACCTAGAATCTACCACTCAAGACTTTCACTATTATTTGTAAAGTTGACACTGAATATATATCTATTCCGATGAACTTTTTAAGCAAAAGAACGAGACATTCTTCGACAAGACGCTGGTGTTATTAAAAATTTGTTCTGACACCGATGACGTTTACAAAGTATGAGTAGCAGCTGCAATCGGTAGAAGTTGGTATTATGTTGCTAAAATAAGAAAAATTGATAATTTTGAAATTGAAATCTTCTTGTTTGTCATAAATTCTGATACTCAGATGACTGCCTTTGTCAAATTCGAGGTAAATATCTAGAAATGATGTGTCGGAAGCTGTATCTGTTGTTTTCTTAATCTGAAGTTATTATTATAAGAGGATATATTAATTTGACCCAATCAGAAAAGTTTGGATTGTGAATGGAAAGAACATCATCAACATACCTCTATGTGAAAGAAATGATCTAGCTTATTTGATCTCCTTGTATCTTACTAGTGTATTTGTTCTTCGGTGTAGCATGTTTTATTTCAGGGTTAATTTTAACAAATATGCCGAATTATATCGTAAATCTATATAATTGTGCAGCGTATGGTACTAATTTTTTTGAGTAAAGGATTGTGGATTATTTCTTGAAGACAGGTTTTTAATTTTTTATGTGGTATGGTTGTTTAAAGGGTGGGAAAATCTAAGGTTTTGATAGAATTGATATCAGAGAATGGCTGTGATTTTTTACATTTTTCACCATATTCTTTGAGTCGACATGTGATTAATGCTTCTACGAGAGTTAACTGTGTCACAGTATTTCTATAATCCTCTGTTTTGCTGCGGTCAACCTTTTGTTAATATTTTGACGGACAATTCGTTGAAGAGAAAAGTTTTAAAATATAAAGCAGGTGAGCCGGCAATGTACGGTTGTTTGTTTGTAGCTTTGTGAAGCTCAGGTACACTTACATCTCTGAAACTGACATTATCAAGATGCTTGATTTCTTGATTGACATCATATTTGTTACGTTTGGAGGACGTGTTTTTCAACAGACTGTCGAAATTCCAATGGGAACCAATTGTGCCCCTCTTCTTGCCGACTTGTTTCCTTATTATTAAGAGGCTGACTTCATACAGGAGCTTCTTAGGAAGAGAGATAAGAAGTTAGCAATATCCTTTAACTCTACGTTCCGCTATATAGAGAATGTTCTCTCACTAAATAATACAAAATTTGGTGACTATGTTGAACGAATCTATCCCATCGAACTAGAGATAAAGGATACTACAGATACAGTTAAGTCTGCCTCATATCTTGACTTACATCTAGAAATTGACAATGAGGGTCGGTTGAAAACAAAACTTTACGACAAAAGAGATGATTTCAGCTTCCCAATTGTGAACTTTCCATTTCTATGTAGCAACATTCCAGCAGCGCCTGCATACGGAGTATATATCTCCCAATTGATACGATATTCCCGGGCTTGTGTTTCCTATCATGATTTCCTTGATAGAGGATTGCTGCTCACAAGGAAGCTATTAAACCAAGAGTTCCAAATGGTGAAGTTGAAGTCATCCCTTCGTAAATTTTACGGACGCCATCACGAGTTGGTTGACCGTTATGGAATAACCGTTTCACAGATGATATCGGATATGTTCCTTATGTCGTAACTACAATACCCTTCCCTTTTCACGAATGTGACTTACCGAATTAGACTATTTACCGGATTTGTAATAACATAAGCAACTCGACGGGTGCCACATGTGGAGCAGGATCTGCTTACCCTTCCGGAGCACCTGACATCACCCCAGTTTTGGGTGGGGTTCGTGTTGCTTAGTCTTTAGTTTTCTATGTTGTGTCATCTGTACTATTATTTGTCTGTTTGTATTTTTATGTTTGGCCATGACGTTGTCAGTTTGTTTTCGATCTATGAGTTTGACTGTTCCTCTGGTATCTTTCGTCCCTCTTGTATACAATACAAATAGGGTAAGTCCATTGATTTGTTGCACCTTGAAATATTTAATGAGGCCATTCAGATCTTGTGGTTTGCCAAGATCTCATCCTTATCAACAGGTTTCATTTGAGCATGCGGGATTACTAGAGTGTTCATTTATTCATAATTGTTTGATAAGACACTCGTAGTAATAGGATTTGCAGAGAAGAACAACTTTGGTAGCAGTTTTTCGAAGACAAGGGTGAGTAAAATCAGATTATATGACTAACTAAACCTCTAACTCATATGATAATTGATTATAGTTCCATTATATTGACAAAATAGGGTGAGCAATTCAAATTGACATATCTGGTTAACGTGACAATTCATTGTAATTTGGTTTCAGGGTCAAAGTCTGTGTTAATAAAGGCAACAGTAGTATACCGCTGTTCAATAGTCCATTCAAATCCGGGTAACAAAGTAAAACCGAGGGAACACATCAACTATAAGCATGATAAGAGGAAAACAACGGAACAACAGAAACACTGAACTACAACAAAAGCAAACGCCAACATACACAGAAACGGACAGTCTGATAACAACTGCAACAATCCTGACCTGGTACAGGACATTTTTAGAAAAATAATGGTGGGTTGAACCTGGTTTTATGGCTAGTCAAACTTCCCGCTTATATGGCGATGTTAAAAATACCGCTAAAATAACAATACTACGTGACAGGAGTACAGTAAAAACAAATGCAAGAACACTCAGCACAGAAAAATACATAATTAAATAATATAATAGTACATTACAACATGTAAACCGCAGAATAACAACGGACACCTCCCATGAATTTACGACAGCACACTAGGACACCACTAACGAAACATAAACTGCGCGTCACATGAATGGATGAACGTCACAAAAAGCGACGTTTATTGTAAACATACTTCACAGTCTTACGACTCAACTGACTTAAACAAATTCAAACAAATATACGAAAAAGAAACTAACAAAATTGAATATGTTATAAATGATAGTACATACAGTATACTAAACTAAAATGGCACTTTCCCGATAAAATACAAATAAAGTAAAATATAAATTCAAATAATACAAAAATACAAAAAAAAAATGATACAACTCTATATAAACATCCTGTGTCCGAATCGCACATCGGGACCCAAGTGCACAAGGAACGCCCAAAGCCAAATTCCCGAAAGTTTCGTCAAGAGTCACACCATCAAAAGAAATATAATAGTACAAAGACAACCAAACGGAAAACCGATCTGATGAATTAAGCCCTTTGCAACTGACTTTTACAGTGCATCCTATATTGGAAGGTAATACCAATGTCGAAGGTATAGGGGATGTGAGCGCTCACAAAAATATATATTCCCGACGTATTCTGTATGTGCCTTTCCCAAGGCAGGAGCTTTTATTCATTGGTTTTATTCGGTTGCTGAATCTTTTTCATTTTGTTTAAGCAGAAATCAGACTGTGATTTTTCTCGTTTTGATTGTTTAGAAATTTCTAATGCCGCATGGTCTCGTAATCATATTAGTTTAATTGGCAGCTACACAACATCTTCGTATTTTTGTATTTTACTGGCCTTTTAGTAATTTGGCAGTTCCCATTATTTCAACTGCCTCCTTGTAATTAAAGGTGTATGTTCAAATTTGAAAATATAATAATCATAAAAAGATAAACTATCTGAATACATGTAAGAATTTATCGGTAAATATCCGAAAATATTCTCCAGTAAAATCAAGGAAACTGGTCAGAATATTGCCGCTGAAATTTGTCTTTTTATGCTCCAACAAATGACACTTGATACTTTTATAGAGATAAACATGCACGTATGGTACTGACTAGTTTATTATTGGGACGAAAGACTTCTGAAACACATGTAATTTAATTGATAATTTAAAAACAAATATATTACACTACGTTTATTGGCGACAGTTGCTTGTACTGCTAGTATTGGTTTTATAATTAAACGAAGCTTTTTGAAGCACACTTCACGTATTGTTAGGAACATTCACTAGTTCTAAATTATTAACAGCATGAGGTTCTTTGTAATAAGATTTCGGTATTGTTGTCACTTCTGTATGTTTATGTTGCAGTTGTTGGAAAGGATGGGCATATCCTGAAGCTCCTTTTGAATGTTTCGATACAGAATACGTACCACTGCTCTTATGAGAGTCAATTTTTGTACAATACGAATGTGTCTCCTTTCTGTCAATAAATGTTGTGTATGGATGAAGATACCCCGAATTTTGAGTTCTTGAAGACGACACTCCGGAACCAGATGTGAGACTTCTATTATTTTCTTCTCTTTTTCGTGAATTTGGCATTTGAATGATGTCGTCACAGATGACGCTATCATTGATACTTTCATATGAGCTACCTATCCTGATTATTTCTTCTTCGTTGTTTTGACTGTCATTTTGTTCTGCTATCTTGTTATTTTGAAGCTTTTTTGCTTTACATTTGCGACAGCATAGGAATATAGAGACAGCAGATATATTCAATATAAGTAATCCACCGATTCCAACTGTATACACATAAATTTCTCGTTCAGAAAGACCTGTACAGTATAAATACAATTTCAAATGGATTTTTATATCATATTGCATTTATTAATATCAGGGGATTTCATTTTCCATTATGCAGTAAAAAGTAAAATCACAAATATACTGAACTACGAGTAGAAAATGGTGGATTGAACCTGGTTTTAAAGCTAGCTAAACCTCTCACTTGTATGACAGTCGCATCAAATTCCATTATATTGACAATAATGCGTAAACAAAACAAACAGACGCAAAAGGTAAAAATGTCAAAAATAGGGGTACAGCAGTCAAAATTGTGTTATCATCTTAATCACTATAAAAACAAACAAATATAACGAAGAAGCACAAAAAGAATACATCAAATTTAACATCCTCATTTTGCTTTTTTATATACGAATTTATTTATCTATGTAAAATCCACCCATAAAGGATGGAAGGTTTTAAGTAATGGCGTAAACTCGCGCGTTCGAAATTCGCACAGGTAGACATAAAATAATTTTGTGGTTCAAAGTATGACGGGATACATAAGTACAGTCACGTCAAATGTGTATCACAAAAAAATATGCTTTGTATGCACAGAAGTGTTTCCAGATTAACCATAAACTTATATTTACGAATATTGTTTTTGTATTTTTGGGATTATCATTGCCATGCTTGAAGGTTTCTTTCTTTTATATGGTTGCTTGCTAATGATTGTTTTAAATTTTTTTTCAAAAATCTTGTTGATCCTAAAAGTACGATCAGTGTAGTTTGTGATTTTCATACATCGATGTATAAGTTACAATATCTAAACACTTCAGGTTCTGGTAAAATGTGCCCAAAAATATATTTGATGTGAATAATACTTTCTTACAAGGGGAAATCAAATCTCAGAAGAAAAAAAAAACCAAAAGAGAGTTCAATTCTTTCAAAAAAATGTTGATAAAAAGGCGGAAGATACCAAAAAGGACAATCAAAAGTCCACGAGAAACCGAAAAAATAGGAAATAACAGTCTACCATGCAATACATTGAAACTATTGACTGAGCACCTCGAATCTCAAGAAAATCTGGTGAGATACCATATTGTCCGGAATGGTAGGAAGATCTTGTTTCAACTTAGGTACATGTCGTGTTGCTAATGTTAAGTTCAAATTCCGTGATATGTCTTATTTTGGTGACGTCACAACCAGAACAAAGAGAAAAGATGTGTGTTAACGACAATTGGAAGATACTCATGGTTATTTGTGACAGATATTCCATAACTGTCTACCAACTAATGATTGTTTGCTCACACTTTCGAAGGAATGACTTCAACTTTATTATATTGATAAATGAATATAAGTATTTATGACTTCATAAATATTTTGAAGTTGACATTTTGGATCTTAAATGGCCCTTATACCGTTATACACAAGTTTCACAAAGGTTTTGGCAAACTTATATATTAGCAGCAGCCTCTTTTCTTTGTTGACTTAGTCGAAAGGTAAGCATACAATAATACTCAAATAATTCAGATGCATGTTTTGTGATAAATTAATTCTAATGTCTATTTTGGATTAATAGAGATCATGAAGTAGCTTGCCATTGTTTTTGCTTTAATATTTTTTATCAAAGCGAGTAATGATGACATATCAAGTATGATATATGCAATAAGTCACATTAGTGTGCCGACAACTATATAATGGAACAGAAAAGACAAGGAATACAAATTTACGACACATAATGCGTGTGGTCATTATTGTATCTATATAGTTCGATCGAAAAAGTTATCTCTTGGCAAACACCAAAGTAAGCAAGTACATAGTTGCATCAAATTACGAGATGTAGGAAACGAATTGTCCACCAAACTGTCTCAAACTTTCATGTTTCATACGATCATACATACTGTGGATACATTATTATTTCTGATACACCAATTTTCATGGATTTCGTAGGTACAGGTGAACCAAGAGTTTGAATATTCAACAAGGAACCAACTGTAAAGGCTGGTATGTAGATTTTGGCAAAATCACGAAACTAAATATCCAGAAAATACAAATGTTCCTCAATCCACGAAAACTAGTACCCATCAAAAATTGAATGAATATACCATAGCATGAGTATATTGAATGTCTTCATATCGTATAGATACATATTCGTACCTTGTTTTACGTTGCATGTTATTTGATTAACCTCTGTCTGAATATCATCTTCATTTGTAATTCTTAAAATGCCCGGCGCTGTTTTTCCTGAAAATAGGAAAGCGTATTGTAACCACTTGCATTACTTAAATTTATGCCATAACATGCACCTATAACCCTTTTGTATTTCTCGGCAATTTTGAATGAGAGTTGATACGTCTGGACTAGTTGGTAACTATGGATCTTGTCTTTTATATGTAAAGGACTTGGTATTCGTTGATCTTTGATACAAATTGGTCTCATCGGCAACCATAATAGTTTGATAATTGCATATTTTGAATACATACATTGTGTGGTCCGTTTAATTGTCTTCAATATTTAACAGAGATTGCAGAAAATACAAAAATTCCTGACCTATGACAGTAACTTATTGCTTTATCATGGGAATATAACCCGGTACAAATGTATGATGATCAAATTTTATTTAGCCGTAAACAATATGTAACCAAGTAAATTTGTATCGTGCTGGTGGGCCCGCGGGTAGAAAATGTCACTAAAAGTTGATATATAATCTGCAATATCTGTAGTCGAATAACACATTGAAATGTTTGACCTGTAAAATAAACTCATGAACAGAAGGCATATTCTATGGGCCATTGCATTGGAAAGTAAGTAAAAAACAAATATCCTACTTGTTTTTATAAAATGTCAGTCTGTAAGATATCAGTATTACTGTTTTTAGTTCTGTCGTACATGTATATATTTGTTTCAGGCTATCAAATTATTAAAGGAAACGCTTTAAAACCTATCTGCAAAGATTTGTTTTCTCGAGATTTTGTCGTTAATATTCGAATATGTGAAATATCCTTACTCAAAAGAAAATATTTGTAAGATAAAGGAAAAGGTCCAATCTTCTCGATTTGTTTAGTATTTAAGTATGATGGCAAATATTTGATTGTATCTGCTTAAATTATTAAGCACTCTAACAGAATCGGGATGATTTGGAGCTTAACACAATAGAATATGCACCTCTTTTTAATGGAGACCGCTTATTGACTTCTTCATGTCCTTTCATTTGGTTTTTTTAATCGTTGGATTGCTGTTTTATTGACACATATCCCATGTCTTATACTATTCTTTATCAAACAATGCTCTAACTCAAAATTTACGTGTACTGTGTAACAGAGACTTTTTAATACTTTTTCACGTTTTTTATCGAGAGCATGGTGAGTATCAGCATATGATCAGTAAATACAATTTGACTCGTGTTTCTTCCGATGATATATGTTATACTCACTAGCCTTTACGAATGTTTGCTCCTCTTGTTTTAGAGTTTTTGCCAGATTTTCGGAATCCTCTGGTTTTATCCATGTATTGCCATTCATAATGTTTGCCCACTAACCTCTATATTTCTTTTCATAATTTTATTACATATAGTTTAAAAAGCCATATTTGAAAATTTTATGAAATCCTTGTTATATTTTCATAGTTTTTGAAATTAAAAAAGGTGTTAATGGTAGATGTATGAAAAATCTAGAGATAACTATTTCCCGCCAAATTTTCAATGGCTTATATCTCGAAAACAAGCACACGGACCCTCCATTTTTTTCTGCTTTTTTAGTTCCTTTTTCTATACTATCATTTTAGAAGTCTTTTAAATAGCTTGTTATTTTGAAACAGAGGAGCTAACAAAATGAATGTTTCTATGTTTTAATTTATGTTTTATAATGAATTTTCCATATGCATACTTTTGTGTATATGGAATGTATTATGAGTAACCTCTGTCTGAATATCGTCTTCGATTGTTATTCCAAATATACCAGGAGTTGTACTTTCTGAAATGAGGTAAACGTATTATATGTATTCTGATTACTTGTATTACCTATATAGAATGCTCTTAGGCGACAAGAGTCTAGAAAATTTAACTTAAACTTAATTTCATGCTGACAATTTCTACTTTCTAAAATACATACACTTACGCAATTCTTCACTTAGGATATAAGATTACACACAAACTGGCATATTTCAATCTTTTTCTAGTACTCTATTGTGGGTGAAATAATGATCAGCATACGTTAGAACATCAAAAAAGTGAGTGATTCTTTCAGCAAAATATACGTTTTTAAAAAGAGGCGAAGGATACCAAAGGAACATTCAAACCCATAAGTCGAAAATAAACTGACAGCGCAAAGGCTAAAAAAGGAAAAATGACAAACAAACAACAGTACACCAAACACAACATTCTAATTCGGTAGGAAACATTCGGGTAAATGTGGACGGGATTGCAGTTACGACTATTTGAACATATCTGTTGTCATCTTTGAAACGGATATTCCACAACGGTCTACCAACTCGTGATGGCGTCTGTAAAATTTACGAAGTGACGATTTCAACTTGGAATTCTTGGTTTAATAGCTTCCTTGTGAGCCTCAAACCTTTATCAAGGAAATCATGATAGGAACGTTCCACATAGTAATTAGTTTTAAAAAAGTCAAGAATGACCCTGTGATAAAACTCATGCATTTACTAGTAATTGCATTTTTTTTTATTTTATTGAATGAGTCATCAAGAATTCCTTCTGTACTTTTTATCAGAATATTTTCCCTTCCATTAAAATCAAGTACGAAGTTGAAAAGCATTGAAGACCAAAAAGTATAAAAAAAATTGCGACATTTAGCTGAAGCAAACTGCATGTAATCCTGGTGTTGAAAATACTTAGTATTTTGATCAATTACTTTTGTTTTTCTTCTAAACAGTGAATTGGAATTTCAAAATAGATGCACATACCGTGACGGTAGATACGTTGTCTGAATGTGCCGACCCAATAAGAGACGTTGTCTCCTGACTTCGGAGGTAAACTGTCGGAGAGGTTCATTAATTTACTTTGCAAGTTTTCACAATAATGCTTTGCCATTGTGAACGTCAATTTGTCTTCAATAGGTTTAATATCTGTAACGACAAGTGGAAATTTAGGGAAATATTTTTGGTTCAAAACACTATCGTACAAAGAGAAAAAATTAATAAAATTCTATTTGAAATTGTAAAATAAACATGAACAAGAGTTTAAAGGTGGCACATTTGAGCAATTATCAAAAAAAGGTTAATGCACAAAAAATGTATGATTTAATATGATAACAATTATGAACGAAACCAAACATAAAATGAAAAATGCACCAACCAAATAGAAATATGGTAATTTCAAACATGTTTCGACAAAAATTTACAATGACAAAAATTATCCCTGTTGTGTCCGTAAATGGACATTTACCCTTATATTCTATGATATGATTAACAGTCAAATGTATTTTTAAGACAAGATCACAATGGAGTTAGAACTAAGTTAAACGGGTACGACCGTAGCTTTTTTTTGAACTGTATTAGTTAATACAAACTATGTCCACTGCATATAAACGAAACAGGCTGTTCACATGCCATTTGTTTAATGCTTATAATATGCTTTTCATCTCTAATGACAGTCAGACAGTCGAAGTTCTGGTCTTTGACATTGGCAGGCAAACCTTCAAAATATAAAAACTTTTATAAAATTGTACTTAGTACTTACATTGTTCGTACTTGTCTATTGAAGAGAGTATTTTCATATTTACCGAGACAGCAGCATTTTCGATCGAATGTATCAGGATATTGTGATGGCATTGTTATTGACAAATATCATTTCAAAACAAAAAGTCGTTCGCAGTCTTGTATCATTAAAATTGCTTACTATGGATTTATTTATTTTCGTGGGTACCAATTTCACGGTTTCAGGAAACATTGTATTTTTGTTGATATTTGATTTCGTGGTTTTTTTCAAAGTATTCATACAAGCCTATAGAAAATGAATACGTCGTTGAACATTAAAATTAGTGGTTTTATATATCCACGAAAAAAAGGGAATCCACATTAACAGCCATTTAAGATTTACAAATATAAGAATTTACTAAATCATCCCATTATCCAAGCATGACTGAATTGAATTGAGTACAAAAAGGTTTTATCTGGTATGTGCTTTCATAGCAAATTGAAACATGAATATAAATTTTGATTCAAAAGAAAAATGGAATCCATTTTTTCATAATATAGCAATATATTCGTATATATCACTTCTATCAAAACATAAGTTTGCGGAGATTTTTTGGAAATGAATATGACTGTAAGGGCAATGAGCTATTCCATAATTTGCTTATAAATCAAACGTTTTGTGTGCCTAACACGTGTTTCAAAAAGTTTTAGAAGCCAAAAATTTCAAATATTGGAAAGCATTAAAAACCAACGGCTTAAATAAAACAACCAAAAATAGTCGGTGACAATTTTGCCTAAGAACCTAACATTTCCGAACAAGTTTGATCATTGTGAATAGTGTATATACGAATACAAGTTGTGCGAACTGTCGTTTGAAATGATGACAGCATATATTTGATACAATTAACGTCCAGAGGAAAATATTTAATGAACATTTTGGACGGAAAAAAATAACAAAACTTACACAGAATTAATGTTCTGCAAAGACAAAGACAAATGTTGGTTGCTCCTGGAAAATCAGGTAAGTTGGATATTGGCTGATAAATGCATTGCATTTGGTCATTTACAGACACGTCAATGTGGTGGTTTTTTTAACGTGTGGAGGTTGTAATATCTCATTACACGAAACACCGGATTTACTGCATCTTTTTAGCATGGATTTTACTCCTTGATGAGATAAGTTCAGGTGACCAACACTTGAAAATATATTTCAGTGTTAAACGATCATGTTAATCTTAACATCTGAAAAGTCTGAACAATAAATGATTAGGTTATATTCAGTGTTTCAATCAATTTTCAGACTTATCCACTGCGGTAAATTCAGTTCTGTTCAGATAATTTGCTGGCAGTCAATCCAATACTGTTCAGTAGCTTTTCAAACAATTCAGTATATTGTTGATGTGTATAGGTAAATAACAATGATTAAACAGTCTCAACATAGACTTAACAGATCTTAATTGTTTGCAAGCAAAATTTCTTCATGTTCTTAACAGTACTAAATTTACCGCAGTGGATAAGATTGGAAATTGACGGAAAGACTGAATATGGCCGTGTCAGATCTAAATTTGTTTACTATTGCATATCTATATACCCTTTTTCATCCCTTATCATAAATGTAGTCATAAGTTATGAACGATATAATACATCAACAACAGAGAATTATATAAATGCGGGGAATATTTTTTCTTAAAATGGTTACCTTGTTCTCGCTTGTATACATTGGCATATTGCATATCAATAGATCCACAGTACATGCTATCTGCGTAGTCCGGACACTTTCTATGACATCTGTTCAACATGTTTTCCCTCAAGTTCTTAAACATTCCTTCATCGAAACAGAAACATTTGTGTTCCTAAAAGAAGAACATATATACAACAAAAGAAAATGTTAAATATGGTGTGACAACTACCAATGTGAATCTAACGGAAGAGGATATTAGCTATATATCAGCATACTGCCTTCAACAAAATCCCGTCTATAATCATCGTTTTACTCATTAAACATGCATTGTTTTGAAAACAGGAAACAACAATGGACGTTTAGCTCAATAACAAACCTTTTAAGGCAGTCCTTAAACCGACATATACCTAAAATACAAAAAAATAGTTTTAAAACGGAAATTGTATGGACATATATCATGTAATAATACTACACGGACGAAAAATGAGGACGAACAAACTTATTTTTAATTGATGTAAAATAAGTAATTTCCCTCTGGTGCTTAGTTATCTGAATTAATACGCCTGATCTGTAAGACGCCCGATAAACGCATTTTACAGATGTCTACCATGTTTACCATGCTCGAAGCGTAATGTATGAAAATTGCAAGCCGATAAAAATATTCCGTTAATTAAAAATAATAAAATGAATCGGATTAAATTAACTGATTAATCATGTTTCGGTTTCTATGCGTCATCAGGTAAGCTAAATGTATAATTTGAATGTATTTATACATAAAACGGCCGTTTTTGTTTAAAAGTTTTTAAAACACTGAACAATAAATGTTGAAGGCTGGTTTATCATTCGGTCAACTTTTATTCTTTTCAACCGTGGTAATTTTAGAACTGACTTTACTACCTTTTTGCTAAACAATTAGGATACAATTAGTCAAAAGTAAACCATAATGTCTGAAAAGCCACTGAACAGTGCTAGATTAACTACAAGCAATGTGTCTGAACAGTTTTTGATTTACTACCGGAAAATATCTGAAAAATAATGTTAACTCTAGGCAAGACTAAACATTTTAAAGTTCAAAGTTTTTCGATGATGTTCATATCAAAATGGTTAAAGACTGAGTATTTACTTGTGTATGGTTCACTTGTTTTAGAGTTAACGATTTGATTAAGCATATGTTGTTATTTCTTTTAATTTTATTGTTTACTATAAAATAAATTTACAGAATGATGTGGTGTTTATATATTAGCGTCTCGTATTATGATATAATTTTCTGTGTCATGTTTACAAATAGTGAAGAAAATATTCAAGCATCTGTGAACGTAAATATAGAGTGTTTTTTTACAGAAAGTGAATAGTTTGTATTGATCGATCAAAAACCTTGAAACTAATAATTACTACTTTCCCACAACGTTTTCGGAACAAATACTTACCAGCATAGCGAAGAAATTCCATTTCATACAATGTCTTGAACATGTTTTAGGTTGGTTGTTGGTTAGTCTTGTCAGTTGGACCTTTTTGAAATCTGTCAATTCGATTACTCCGAAACAACCTAAAATGAAAATAGTAAATTAAGATAAAGCTACAATTACTGTTAACAGGATGCCTTTTTATATTGATTGACGACGATTTGGATGTTGCTACGTTGGAATTATCATTTTTTTTTACATGATTATATTTCTCATCTCGAAACTCATTTTGTTCCTTTGTATTCGATAGTGTATGACTTCATACATTTGTAGATATTTCTATTCAAATTTGTTTAATATAAGGGTCTGCACACAACTGTTGTTTGGCGTCATAATGTAATATGTTATGTGTTGAAAGGAACCTGTCAACGAATAAACGACTAAAAATTTGTTCATATATTTTTTTTCTAATTGCTCTGCATTTAAAAAGCAGTTATTCTGGTTAATGAGAAATAAGGCTTTCTTTATCATTCAAAGTTATATACATATCCAAGACAAAATAGGATGGTATATTTAGATGAAACTATATTTCTGTTAAAACAGACATGAATTTAAATTTGGATTTGGATAAAGTTTATCGCCTTCAAATCAAGTGCTGCAAATGATTCACGTAAACACCACCTTTCGAATACACTTGGCACGTGCACGAGTTCTGTCTTGACAGGTCAGTGATCTCTTAATATTAATTACTTATACCACTCAATCATCGAGGCCATTGATTCAATAAACAGGGAATAATACAAGTTATTACAATGGTGCATATAAAGCTACGATTATATAGAAAATTATTAACTACGATAACATTGTATGCTCATTTTGCAATGTCCTTTGTACCGAAGTAATTCATGGTAATAAATGAAACATAACAGACAAAGGTATTATATATTTACCTAAATGAGTCATCCATTTTGTTTTTATGAAATGTAAATCTTGTTTCGCCAAAACTGAAAGAATAATATTTTGCTATCAAATTTAAGTTAAAAATTACATATTTGATTTAAAACTGTGAAAAAACTGCGTTTATTGTGTAACCTTTGCAGGTTTATTCAGTCCACGTCTACTTATTTGTCTTTTTCGAAACAAACTAATGAATTACTAATCATCAGGACCAATCAGCCCCACCAAAAAATGTAGGCCGCGAAGCGGAAGAAGTACATAAGAACCTTAAAAATCGAAAAAAAGAAATTGATGGGTGGTCAATTGTTTTAATCCAATTCAGGCAAATCAACACAATCATAAAAATTGTTAAACATTTCTGTTTTGTAATGCCATCTTTAATGTTGTCAGTTTGTGATTACGAATGACACAAGATAAAGAATGATGCATCACGAAACGTTAAACACTTTTGAAAATATCAGCACGAAGAACAAAAAGACATGCTAACATTCTTAGACTTTTTAGGAATAAGAGATTCAATATTTTTCAATATTGTAGCGTAAAGTTGCCACTATAACAGCACATAATTTTTATTAGCTAGGTATTGTTGCATGTATTTTTAGTTCTACCAAATGAAAGTAGCATACAGTTCAACTTTTTATCAATAATTGAGTGACTATATGCCTTACATCAATATTGAGTGCTCTCAACAGCAGTACTAAACAAATCCGTATGATGACTTGGATAAAGGTGCTCATTTCCCCCTAAAGCAACAATCTCTATCATGTCTATAGTGAATAAGAACTCGTGATAATTCAAATGTATTGTTTTAACTGATCATTAATTTCTTTCTTTAATAGAACATTGTCGATAAGTTAAATTAATGCTTTTTTTTCTTAATGTATTCAACGAGTATATACTTACTAAACATATTGATAAACATGATAACAGATGTGAAGAGTGTTGAATTAGCCATTGACACATTATGGTACCAACAAACATATTTCCTATCATTATATTAATATCATGAATAGGTTAAACAGGAAATAATCATATCATTGTCATTGGTGTTTCCAGGAAGAACTTAATTTACAAAAAAAAAAATATTTTTCGAAAGCTATATTTATTCAGTTAAATATTGTTTAACATGATGACCGACATTTTTAGTGACATCATTCAATTTAACGTTATTTTTTTTTTATTAATTGAAGGAACATTTCAAAAAAAGTTAATACACGTAATAACGAGCTGGATTCATGAACAAGCAACTAGAGCTCATGTTTATTTTCTCTTTGACATGTTAAATATAACTACATGTATCTAAAGATAAATCCTTACTTCGTTTTTATTTACATTTAACAATGGCATGTCCATGTAAAATGACTTTTGCAAAGTAAACCACCATAGTATCTATGCACAAATGAAATGCTCTTAAGTATATTTGCAAGAGTTATTATGGGGACAACCTTTCTAATTCAATAAAAAAATCTCTAGTATACAAAATGTAATTGTGATATTTAGATCCCAAAACGGACCTACATCGTTCAAGAGTACATTTAGTTCAATATGCATATGTACAGCTAATCGTTATCTTTGAAAAGTTATGTATTTAACCATTCTTGTCTGCAATTGGGATACGAAGGACAAAACAATAACAGATGCTAAATATAAATATGAGGAGATATGGCATTATTACCAATGTGACAAGAGGCAACCAAATACTAAAAGAACAAGAATGTAAGTAACTACTGCTCACTGCAAGGCCTTCAATAATGAGTAAATTCCGTGCCGTATAGGGGAAACAATTTACGGTCATTTGACCAAAAAATGTGAAATAGTTCATAAGTATGACAGACGGCATACAACAACAACCCCTGGACAACAATGACAGGTTTTGAACAGGCATATTACGTATGACGCGGGGTAAAAATTGAAGTTGCAACCTGATGCCTTGCATAGAGCAATGATTTAGGAGAATCACAACATTCTGGTCTCAATGTTTTATTTTCAGTGCATTGTTCTTTATGTTGTTTGTCATTTCTTTGATTTTGTTTTTGACTATTGTGTTATAGATTTGTGTCAGGCATATATTTGTGGCTGGCTTTGTATTTCACTTTTTAGGAATGAAAGAGAATTTAAAAAAATCTGTATTTAGACCAATTCTTTGTACATACACTTCAATAAAATTTACAGGCTAACAAAAGTTTTTTTTTTATTAAAAATAGTGCAAAAGGCATTTCAGACAGTTACTCAAATCATATTACTATCTATAACTATTTTTTTTTGCATTTTAGTAAAATTAAGTGTACTTTTTGTGGTTCTTTTTTATTATAGATTTCATCAAAATATCTAAAATCAGATTATGCACTGAGACCTCTAGTTGCTATCTTAACATGTTATTCAATATGTTCTATAAGTATAAACACATTTTGTCTTAGTTTTACCACCACACTACCTAAGAACATATGTTACGTGTTTGCGTTTAAAAGCAAATTTAATTAAAATATATGATGTTGCTATTATATGTATTCATACATACCGATAGATAACGGGAAATATTTATTATTCATATCTCCTATTCTCAAATATCGGATAGTGTATCAACGTTTATCACCCTTAATGTTTTTTATTACAAGTTAGATATATACAACATCAATAGTCCCAACACATGGTGATTGCCTTGAAAATGAGAGGCGAAAGATACCAAAGGGACATTCAAACTCATAGGTCAAAAATAACTGACAACGCTAAAAAGAAAAAAGATGAGCAGACAAACAACAGTACACAAACAACAAATTATCTGCTAGTCTTTATAGAAGATAAATGTTGTTCCTATTTTGATATTCTAATTGTTCCTACAGAGAATGTTGTACAAACTCTTCTTCTTTTTTTGGTACAAGTTCCTGCTCTTTGGTCGGATTGCTGTCTCTTTGAGACATTCTTCATTTCCATTCGCATTTTTTTTTTACATTTGTTTGTCCGGTCCAGATATACAAGGCTTTCACTTTTTATTGTTTAGCATTTTCAAATAGTTTATTCAATTTTAAGTTGTTTTTTTATGACCGTCGAGTCAATGTTGATTTCAGCCTATTAATATATTGTCAAGATCCAACATTTCCAGCCGTCCAAATATATGTACAAAACATAGTATTTCTCTTTTTATTTTGTCAATTTTTTTTCCAAATGAATAAAAAAAACAACATTCGATCAATTAGTTTTTTTAGAATTGTTGCATGGTGCTTGTAATTTAAAAACAGATTGATAAGTTATAAAATAATTAGTGCCTTGATGATTGCTATTTTCCACCTGGTGTTGATGTTTGCTTATGCGACATTTTTATCATATTTCATTTAAAAAAAAATTCTCGGATAGTAATTTAAAAGTTCGATTTCATGCAAATTGACCGAATAGTTTATACCTAGTAGTGTAAACCTACTGGAATCCCATTCCAACCCCTAATGTACACACATTGTGTTTTACTATATTTCTTTTTGCTTATTCACACTACCGGTATTTTGTCCAGGTTCATATTGATACCAGAAACTTTAACATGTTTTTGCAGTAAGCGAAGTGATGTGTGATCTGCGTATTGTGATTTTAAACATTGTGAATCATCAATTTCAATTCCTTTAATTTATTTTTGTTTTCTAATTAAGATTCCTAAAATTTCTACACACGAAAGACAGGCGAATCTGACAGGAACAGTTTTCAGAAACTGCTGAACTAATATTTGTGTAAGAGGTGTTTTCTCCGATATGTCTATCAGGAATTAAATCTGTCTGATCTTTGTTAATAATAATGGCTAAAACAGATTGTTTACGCTTTGCGATACAGCTTGATGATAGTTTATATGTAGTTTTTGATAAATTTATAGATCCCCAGTTTTTCATGACTGTCTAGGTTTATCGCCTTTTGGTAAACAAGCAATGATACCCTGTTGTTGATTTATTGACAGTTCATCCCTTTGAAAACCATAAATTATAGAAATGTTCTTACATGTGTCCAAACGAATTAAAATAATTCATTTGTATAGCCATCCGACCTATGGCTTTTCTTTTTTTTTTTCAAAACTGTTGTCAATTCGTTATAATCTGTTCATCCCTCCAATGATACTTGTAATGTACCATTTAACGTTTGAATATCATTAGCAGGAATTGCGCTATCATGATTTACATTATCCAAGCTCTCTGCTTTAGTATTAAGTTTTGTTTTATACAAGTAATATTTGTTTGCTTTATCTAATATTTGATCTTGTTTATCTTCAATGTGTTGTGTCCCTTTTCCATTTACAAAATTTTAAAATAGTTTTATTTATAAAATGTAAAGTTTCCACATTCAAGAAAAAAAAATAGATGATACTCCACTTCTTCAATCCATTGCATTTTGTATCTGATAAAGTACTCCATAATTTTTACTTGTCGTATTATATTTACGTTTCTTTCTTTTTGTTTTCAATTTCTGTTAATATTTCTCTGTTAAAACATGTTAAATGCTTTCTTCCAGTCTTTGCATTTCTTCTGATACAATTTTTTGTTCATCTCGTTCCTTCTATTTATAAGATGCATTTGAAAATTTTTTCTTTTAATTTAAGGTTGCATTTCTGTAAATATAGACAATACAATTTCCCATAGGAACTCCCTTTGAGGCTAAAATTGTACCACTTTTACTATGAAGTTTCGTGAAAAATTATATCTTAGAATGGAAAGTTGATATGCACTACTATTTTATTCAAAGGTCAAAACATCGGGCTGTGCGGCATATTTTCCACATTTATATGTCCCAAACTTCTAAGAGTTTAAACTTATACTTAAGTTCTGTACTACCCCTACTTTCACTTTAGATGACCCTCAGAATTCAAAATTCCCTGCAACCATGTGTAAATATACTGGTAACATTCCCAAGTAATGTCTCTGTGAGATGAAACAGAGATCATGTTTGGGAACCAGTACGTAAACAAACAAAGTATCTTTGAATATTATATATCTCCAAAAAGAGGCGTGGTTTGTGAAACAACTGTATTTACAAAGTGCAACCTTCAGTAAGAAATATTTTTAAAAAGAGTTGGTCGTTTATAGTAAATTATTTATCTGTTTGAATGTGTCTCTCTTATATGCGAATGACGCATATTCGATTTTTACTTTATGTACAATGTCTTTTATAGTATTGGAATATTTAATATCATGTAAAATTGAACTGTCACATTTCCATACTCCTCTTCCAATTATGATAGCATTCCTCTTCAAGTGCAATATTATTCGGAATTGATCGGATCTATAACTGTTGTGAATTTGTACATACTCTTATACCTTTTGAATAAGGTCTTGGGACATTGAAAAACAATATAATCTTGCTTGTGTTATGGTATTAGTTTTTTTTCGATTGATTTTTTTCATTCTGGGTAACTTTTCATAAAGAAGTCTGTTTAATTATAAAAAAAAATGCTATTAAGTCTTGAACTTTCTCCTTACCTTTTAGGTATTTACATTTTGATAATTATATGTATCCAGACCTCGACTTTTGACTAAATTATAATCTCAAGTTATGACAACTAACTGGTTTTTAAAGCTTTTTTATCATTTCACCTAATGTTATATACAAATCTTGGGAATCTTTGTTTTGAGCCGGGTCCGGATGGGGATTACATAATATAGAATAATGATCAAAAGTTGCAGAATAAAGGACCAAAAACATAAACAATAGGGAAAAAGGAAAAAATAAATAAAGAATAGAGAATAATGTAATGCCAAAATCGGACGAATAGAGAAAAATGGGCAAAAAAAGATAAAGAATAGAGCAAAATGGTACAAGAAATTAAAAAGAATAAGGAAATAACCACCCTTAATACAGATAATAATATAGGCTTATTAGGGTCATTCTTTATTCCTTTGATAGTCATATCAATTTTTAAAAAATGTCTGTGGTCATCTTAAACAGTTTATGTATTTTATACTCAATGTTTTTGTAAATGCAATTGCTACCCCTCGTTGGTTTGCTGTAAATTAGTCAAAAATGGACTGTCCTCCCAATAGAGTTTTCATGATATTCCATCATTTCCGAAAAAGTATATTTTGTAAGCAATCTATATTACAAAGTGTACCCTTTTTTGATGTAACAAAGTCAAACACATCTTTCCGATTCGTTTTTGAACTAAGACCTTGACAGTTGTATGTGACAATTGTATATCATTATAATTACTAATTTCCAGGTGATACTACTTTTTGATAACAAATAGTAATCTGAAATTTGTTGAAATGCACCAACTATCTATAGACCAAAACGTATTGGTAAAATACAAAAATGTGACCAAAGAAACTTTTTACGACCAGCCAAAAATAAAGTATTGGTGTTGATCTATCATTTTGACAAAAGAGTATAACAAAAATAACTATATCCAATGCACATTAAAAAAAGGGAAGTCCATACAAAATGACAAAATCAAACGGTTTCAAGCACGTAAAAAGTGAAAAACAACTGTCATTATCCTGACTTGGTACAGACAATGTTTATAGAAAATTATGGGTTCAACCTGGTTTTATAGCCAGCAAAATCATCCACTTTAAACCGGTTGTTTATAATTTTGTTATATTGAAAATTTTGGGTGAACAACTTTAGCAGACATAATCGGTTAATCGCGTTCTATCCGTGTGTAAATCCGGTACATTAAACTCGTTTAATAATCGTCTTTTTCGAAGTCAGTGGCAGTACTTATATACTTATAAGGGTATCAACCAGCTTAAACTTGGATAGCACACACAATATATATATATATATATTGTTAGTATAAAACTAATAAATCCTTTTTAAAAAGTATAAGTAGGTTTATACTTGAACAGTATTCATCATTTTATAATAAACGTGTGTTTTTAAAAATGAAGCTATTGATTTTTATAGGCCTATTTTCCAGCAGTCTTGGGATATACAGGCACCGACAAGTTCTTGCAGTTACCAATGGGGACTATAGCGCAGTTGATGTAAGTAAATAACTGTGCTTTGTCGTTGAATAAATCCTATAATATAATAAATAAAATAAAAAATTAGATCAATGTGTTGAACACAATTATCGATATTTTTCAATTTAATGACAATGAGAGACACAGTAGTATTAAATATGTATTGATATTTTCGCTAAAGCTAACTACAATGCATCATGGTTATGATTTGTATTAGTCTTTTGTTCACGAGTGTCCATTATTAACATACAAGAAAGGCGTGAGATACCAAGGAAATTCCGAACAAACTAGTCATTTTGGGGACCTTTATAGCTTGCTGTTTGGTGTGAGCCATGGCTCCGTGTTGAAGGTCGTACTTTGACCTATAATTGTTATTTTTTTATACATTGTAACTTGAATGGCGAGTTGTCTTATTGGCACTCATACCACATCTTCTTATTCATATCATAAGTCTATGACTGACTGACAATGCCATTGAAAAAATAAAAAAAAAGACCAAAACAATGAAAAAGACAAACAAAAGTATAAAAGAATAAAGATGAACATTTAAAGACTGAGCAACTAAGAAATCGATCATTTATATAAAATCAATCACACCATATATTAGATTGTTTGAAAAAAAAATTAAAACAAAACTTTCATAACTTTAAAAATTTCAGTACCGCTCAAAGCAGAATATTTGAGAGCCAATTCAAGGATGTATTAGAACCGAAACAATTAAAGCGCTGTATGACCAAAACGAGCCTTAACATAATAGCCGAATCATTCTAGGGCCAACTTTACTTGAGGGTGCTGAAACCTTAGTTTCTTAATAATTTTTATTTAGAAACGTACAATATAAGTACGGTTTGTCATAAATTATGGCACTACTGAGGTACTGACTAATAAGCTGATGATACCCTCGGAGACTGCTAGTCCACCAGCAGCGGTATCGACCCAGTGCTCCCAAAAATGAAAATAACACTTTATAAATTTGAAAGAATACACTTGACATATTAGGCATATTGAACCGCTTTTAACAAATGTGCTACCGAATGGTTATCTAACAGATGGAGGCATGTGAATTTCTTTTTTTTTTTTGTAACCAAAAACTCAATTACCCGCGATTCTTTTAGTCTAAAATGGCGAAATCATTTTTACCAATTTTATCTCAAGTAAAGCAGGAGTATAGTTTCATGTATATATAGCAAGATTGACTTCAGCAGCTCCACGGTAGGATATGAAACTCTTTGAATAGATCTGGCAGATTGTTACAAAACGAAAAACTTTAGATCCATTATTATTGTTAAAAATATATTATGAACCTTACAAATTAAAATGTTCGAATAATCTACGAACTGGTACATTAGACGTGTTGGTTATTTGTTCTTGTCTTTTGTTAGCCTGTATTCAAAAGTATAGACACACTGCTGTAAGTTGAGGGTTTAATGACAGATTACAACACTAAAAGTGAACAGTGCGAGACTAGTTCGAAGTTATATTCTTTTGACGTTGTTATCTTTCCTGGCCAAGAAAACTTCAAAGAGAGTGTTTCTTTTTATACAGAATGCGAAATGTTATCACCAATAACGGAGGTAAAAAAACTAAACATTCATAACAAATAAACAAACAAAGAATGAAATAAAAGTTAAACTATTACGATGTAAGAAACTGGTTAAAATACTATTAAAACAAGTTTAGAAACTCAGCATCTGTCTGACAGATTCGCCTTTCAATTTTTTGTCTTTTCTTTATCTTCAATAATTGGTGTATTCAAACGTACTACAGTTTTCTTGGTCAAATTACAGACAGCTACTCTGTTCGCAAACTTCAAGGGAAGAGGTCAAAATTTAAAGTCACCATTTAAACAATTTGTGCACTTTGTCTAGTTCAAAAATGCATACCACGCACATAATTAACAAAGAGATGAGGTTTATGGCATAATTGATAACATATGAACAGAAACTTTCTTTTCCCTAACCAAAAAAATAAGGAAAAATTGATAAGGACACGTTTTTATCCCATCAAAATTTTATCATATTCTTTTGGTTTCTTTATTCAATTCAGCATCCTTTCAAACAGTAATGCTGTCAATTTTATTTTAGATCATTTTGAACATTTCTACCAAGATTTTACCCTCAATCATCTCAAAGTAAATGTTGCAAAACCTTCTTTGGGTGGTATATTTCTTCTTATTTTTGTTAGATACATGAACAAAACATTCATGTAACCATTGTACTGTGATAATATTACTTTCATGCTCGAATGACCTATAAAAACTGTTTAGTCCTAGTACCTTTTCTAGACATTTTGACAACTCTAAACACTTCCAATGTATACCTTCTTTGTATTCGTCGTAATAGTCACGGGAAAACAGAACGCACTTAGAGGAAATCAGAAGTATTTTACTTTCTACTAAAAGATGTATTAGCATTAAAAACCCATTCAATGTAATACCAGTGGTTGGAAAAGTTGTTGTACTTATGGTTTGTCTTTTTACATTGTTTTAAACATAAATCAAAATATAACATATCTTTAACTGACCCATGAAATTAGCCACATATCAGAGAAATTTGCATTTATAATTATGTGAAGATAATGTCAGTCATTCTTCCTTATCGTCAATATATTTTTTAGTGAAGGAGCTAATGCATTTATGATCGCACAATGAGTTTCATAATATACATGATATAAACTGAATCTTTAACCAATATGATAATGAGAAAATGTTGACAAATTCTTAAATTAGTGACACCTTTTAATATCGATGTTTCAAGCACGAGCACCTTATAGTTACAATTGTAACTTAACGTTCCTTGATGTTAACCATACATAAACGATAAGTTTTTCTTTAATTAATATTTTGTCATAATGTTAGTGAAATCAAACATCGATATAGTCTTTTTCAGAGTTATCTCGAAAAATTTGGTTATATGTCAGCCGCTAAAATGTTGAAATTACATACAACTACTGAGAGGACTACTGCTCTAAAGTAAGTTCTAAATAATACATGAACCGATTTTAGCTTTTAATATGATAGACAGTAATTTGCAATTCTCCCAGTGGGATTTCATCACTAGCTGTTGAGACGATATATCTTTTTCATTGTTGCATCCAATAAAGATGCATTCATAAACCACTGTATTTGAGACACAAATTAAAAAAAAAAAACATTGTGTAATAATAGGCGGCTTAGAAATGTTTTTAGACTTAGGACAACATAGGAAAATATCAAGTTACTGAGAAATGATTTTATCACATAACCTTGGACAATATCAGGATGCTTAAAATGTTTTTATTACATAGCCTTAGAAAACATTGGGCAATATTAGTAGAAATATTTTTTATAGTAAAGCCTAGGTATACTCAGAAGAGTTAACTTTAACTAAGTCAAAGAAATGTCAAATGTGGACATTCTTAATGTTCATTGGTTTATTAAACTACCATAATATTTAAATCTGAAATACAGGTTTGCAGCAGACTGATAGACAAATATACCAATATTAGCAATTAACTCTATTTGCAGGTCCTTTCAGGAGTTTAACAATATCCCAATTACTGGCAAAATAGATCCCAATACAATAAACAAGATGAATACACCAAGATGTGGCGTTCAAGATATGGAACCCGGCGTAGATGGTTTACCTAAACCATTCGAAACTGGTGATTACATATGATTTTCTCAATTCTGTACGAACTAAAATAATAATGCAGTTCCATCTTGTTTACCAGTTTTTGTCATTTATCTGTTGTTAAGGGATTGAATAGACGAATGGATGGAGAGAGAGAGAGAGAGAGAGAGAGAGAGAGAGAGAGAGAGAGAGGATGGATAGATAGATAGATAGATAAATAGATAGATAGATAGATAGATAGATAGATAGATAGATAGATAGATAGATAGATAGATAGATAGATAGATAGATAGATAGATAGAGAAATCGAGAGATAGACAGATATATAGATACGTAGGCCAATTTATTATCCAAGTAAATATCTCGTATTGGTTGATATTATGAAGTCATCATTAACGGTATTCTTGATATTCTTAGTTTCCGTTTGGCGTAAGAAAAAGTTGAAATGGAGAATTACCGAATTCACCAGTCAGTTGTCGGATTCAGTTGTTAGGTAAGTAGTTATAACATTGATAAATGTCAGGTCTGAAAATTGTCTAAGCTTCTTTGACTTCTTACATTTTTTGAAAGCATGTAAATTTAACTATTGATTAAATTAATTTTGAAATGATCAAAGATCTGCACTTGTGAGAGTATCACGTTGTATTATTTTTGATTTCTGTTTCTTAGTTAGTCGATTGAACTTAAAGCCTAATCTATATAGCACCTTAATTTTGTAAAAGCTCTGCACTTTAAAAAGCTCATTCATGCTTATTGATGACTGTTAATATTTTTGTTAAATAGATCTGAACTAGCAAGGGCACTTAAAGCCTGGTCTGACGTGTCAGCTCTGTCCTTTACAGAAGTCACTTCCGGGGAGGATATACATATAAAATTTGTGAAAGGTGATCATGGTGATGGTTTCCCTTTCGATGGTCCAGGTTCGTAAAATATCTGCAGATCAGTAATGCATTGCATGGACTGAGAAGTTTTTTTTATCTTAATTGTACTTGTTGCATGTAACGGGGTTAAAAAAATAGGATCAAATTAGTCCATTTACTTTTATCGAACAGGAGATATGTAAAGAAGCCTCATATCGGACCTATATAGGGTGTTTTAAATAAATCTTCAGACAAGACTTGTATTGTATATGTTTTGTTAATCAAATCCTAATATTGAACCTTTATGGTACAGGGTGTTTAAATAAATTATGATATCGAACCTATAGGTTCGGGGTGTTTAAATAACTGCTCATGTCAAGGCTATATTATATAGGGTAATTAGATAATTTTCACATAATACCTTATAGGGTATAGGGTGTTAAAATTACACCTCATATTATAGATATATCGTATAGAATGATCATAAGGGAGGGGACTTCATGAATATGGCATGCATCATACATGTCATCAGTAAATATCCCATGACAATGTTGGTTGATATACAATTGGTACAGTACTTATGATTATAATGTTGATGGCTAAACCTGATTCATTATATTGAAAGAATGATACAAGCGTTAAAGGATGTTTGCTTCTCTTGTAAAATCCTTGTTTTTTCATAGTTTTTGAAAGTAAAAAGGTATCCATGTTCAATGTATGAAAAATCAAAAGAAAATTCTTTCCCGGCGAATGTTTAATGGCTTATATCTCGAAAACAATCAGACACACCCCTTCATTATTTCTGCTTTTTAGTTCCTTTATTTATATACTATCAATAACTAATAGTCTTTTTAAAAGCTTGCTATTTTGAAACAAAGTCGCGAATATCTTTATTCAATAATCATACATATTGATTTTGTAACAGCTGACTGTTTTCATTGGCAATAATACTATAGATGAAGTACATGTACTTATTGAAAGAATACTATTGCCGGAATTGAATGTATAGGAAGAAATTAGATTGCAGGAAAATTAATCACAATACATATGTTTGGAAAAAGCGTTTACTCACCATACACTTTCATGACACAGTTGCGTAACATAACGAACAACTTTATATACTGGTCATGTTAAAACATTTGCATGATATAATCGCATTTAGATAAACCGAAGGCTGTCTCATTTTAAAGACGAATTCATACATCTCTTTATAATATATCTATACCACTATTGGATAATTTGCAGGAGGTGTAATTGTTCATGCATTTTACCCGGAAGATGGAAGAACACACTTTGACGACGAAGATATTTGGGTCGTCAATACAACGGGTACTGATCTTTTTACCAATGCTGCACACGAATTTGGACATGCTCTTGGGCTTGGCCATACAAACGTCGAAGGTGCTGTGATGACACCGGTTGACACTGGATATGTACCAAACTACAAACTTCATCCAGCTGACATTGCAGGAATACGTGCTTTATACGGTAATTTAAGAAACACATGAATGGAGTCAATTAATTAATAAAAAAAAAGAAAAAAAAATCTATTTAGAAAATTCAACCGTTTTGTCATACAATTATCTTTTCTACTAGCCAATGCTCAACATTTCAATTGAATGGTAACTATATGATTATAAATTGTTCGTTTTTGAAGCCATGCATAAGATCTTAGCGAAACCTGAACAACGTATGGAAGTTTCTCATTAATATAAACATGTACAGTATTTGATGTTGTCTTTGACCATACATGATGATACATGTATCTAAATTTCAGTCAAGAAATAAATAAAAACAAATATCACTTCTAAGTCATCTACCGTAATTCTTTGATCCTGCTTGATCTATGTAACGACCAGGAAACAGAAATATGTATGATATGTTAACCTGTCATAATAATCTGCCAAACAACCATACGTATATAATCTAATTATATTGTTGTTGAACTTATATATAAAATATAACTGGTTGGATCTGCCGTTTAAAATTGATTTAGATAAAATTGAGGACTATGTAGAATGACACTTCAATCACTTTCTATTAATGACATTTACTTTCATCTTGATTTTATAGACAACAGACCAAAAATTTGCCGAAATGGATATGAAGCTACAATTAGAGGTATGTGTTATTAGCTGAGGGGAACTAGAGTAAAATGTTGCAATACTACTGAGTGTGGAATGAATGTAAACTCAAATAGGTTCATTTTAATCTTACTTTTAACGTTTAATTCAATCTATACTTAATCAATTTGATTATTATGTAATCTTTGAAAATAGAAAATGTGTAATGAGATTTGTTTCCATATAATGAAAAGGAAAGGGTAAATGAGCCTTGAAGACTTTAGTAAAATAAATAAGTTGTTTGTTTTCAAGCTGGAATTGTTATAATACCTTATTAATCAACTTTAAGGTTTGTTTTATTTTATATTTTTATGGCGATAGACGATTGGGTATATATAAAATTATTTGTCCTGTACTTACCTCTAGAAATTTGCTATGGTAAGGTGAGTAGGCTTTTATGAAAACAAGTGACATTTTTAATCAAGTAACATTTTTAGTTTCGTTATTAATGTATCTAGGTTAAGCAGAAAATATTTAATTACAAATAGTTCAATAAACTCCCGACGAATCATCTGAAAAAAGTGTTGTTAGTTATCAGATCTAAACAAACATATAGATAAAAATGTTATTATGAGAATTAGTTTATCTCAATAAAAGAGATCTCTTCAGTTTTTGAACAGGTTAATGATATAAATGTCAACAAAAACCTTAGTCCGAACTCTTTGCTTTAGAAATAATCGATCCGTCTCCTTCAGACATTATATACGTGAGGGTACAGATGTGTCCCATTACCCATTTTATCAATCTCGTGTTATGAAGAGTGGGCAAAACTATGAATATATATCTGTAAATCATAACTGTACCTAAATATTGCAACAAAAACCATGAAAATGTATTAATTTACCTATAGGAATTAAATCTAATGGAATTTCTTTTTAGTATGTTATATTCTAATTCGTCTACCACTAACGAACATAAAGTATTCATAAAATAAATACTTACACTTGTTTCTGAAACCACTTTGCCCGCATTCGCAAACAGTGACTGAAAAATTATAATTAAAGCCCATCACGTTACACTGACCTCTGCATTGTACACGACAGTCTAATAAAAAAAAATCCGAAGTTATACCAATGCTTGTACCAAATCAGGAATATGACAGTTGTTTTCTATTCGTTCCGATGGTTGGTAATGTCTAACATTTGAATTTTGTTAGTTTTTACGGACTTCCCCTTTTTGAATTTACCTTGGAGGTATTTTTTTTAATTCTTGTATACTTTTTCATCATGTTTATGTGTATTAATATATTTAAATATAGATTAATACACATGATAAAAACAAAACAAAATAACATGCATTTCACAGTTGAAGGACGAACTACTGTGGATTCATTGTTATTCGTTTGATACCAATTTTCGTGGGTTTCGTGGGTACAGGTGAACCACGAATTCAAATGTTAAAAAAATTTACAAATTGTCTATTGGCTTTGTATGCAGAGAATATCCCCGAACATGCAAGTGTTCCTCATTCTACAAAAATTGATACCCACGAAATAAATGAACCAACAGTACCTTTTTGTAACTTAGCTGCCTCAAAAAAGAACGGCGTCTTATGTGTTTGCATATGAACAAGTGCAAAGTCATGTCAGTGATCAATGTGACTTGATATTGTGTCTAAACAAGTCAAAAAGTCTGTTCAGTGATCAATGTGATTTGATATTGTGTCTAAACAAGTAAAAAGTCTGGTCAGTGATCAATGTGACTTGATTTTGTGTCTAAACAAGTACAAAGTCTGGTCAGTGATCAATGTGACGTGATATTGTGTCTACACAAGTAAAAAGTCTGGTCGGTGACCAATGTGACTTGATATTGTGTCTAAACAAGTAAAAAGTCTGGGAAGTGAACAATGTGACTTGATATTATGTTTGGTTGTTTTCATATGAAGTTGCTATAATCACTCAAAACTCATGATACTAGTTTTACAATTGATGAGTCATTTCATCGTTGAATCCAGTTGACCTGTATGTAGATGAGCTTGTATCTGTTGGGGTTGACTCCTCTTAGACGTTGATATCATATCTCTTGTCTTATAAAACATACCCTTACCCCACCCCTACTCTTTTTTCGAATGTTGTGCCGTTTATCGAAATTTCTTTTTCGTACATTCCCAATTAAAGACCCTTCAATTCCATACTTATTATATGAATGTCTAATTGATTGTTCTGATCTGTTACATATAAACAAACAAGAACGACGTGACGGTTTGTATTTTAATTATTTACGTACACATTCATACCTATTAAGTATGTATTATTTCTATTCAGATTATTACATGTATTCTATTCACTTTGTTTTATAGAGGCAAATGGGGAGTACATGTTTTTATGAAACCACGAAAGGTACTGCTAATGACTACTGAAAACGGACCATATCGTACAGAAAAGAGAAAAACACTTTTCAAACGATCTCCGAGACGAATAAACGGTGCTTTTAGGGTACCAGAAACGGATAAAACATACTTCATTAAAGGTAAATTCAACGGTTTTTAAGATCATTAGTAAATATTTCCAACCTCACAAGTTTTTTTTTTTTTCAATTTATTGTTTTTGGGTGTGGAACAGTTGACTGAATTCAATTTATTTGAAGCCTGAATATAAACTGAAGGATACCAAATATATGTATGTCTGTTTCAATTTTTTTTTACTTTGATATTTAGTTTGAAAGTTTACATATAAATTAACGTAACAGCACACATTATTAGGGGTCATAACCTCTTCCTTATGTTCCAAAAAGAAGATTTGATTTGGTATTAATAGTAATATCATACGAATACGGTAAAAGCTTGCAACTATACGTTTTCATAAACGTTAAGTATAGCGAGATGTTAACGTGATCATAAATATAATATATTTTCTGGAAAACTCATTTTGAATAATTATCGAGTTGGCAAATAAATTACATATTTCCCATTTGAAACAATTCTTGATGGCTTTATTTGTTTCCGTTCTGAAATAATACTTTCTGATATTTCCTAATTATATAAATAATTTGAAAAGAAGATTTCCTTCAATCAGTTATATTACTAGATACGATAATTGAAAAAAGGAGGTATAACAATATATGATAAGGCCGATTTTTGACCCCTTGAATAAGAAAATAACAAAGAGTATAAATCTACAAATAAAATTTCCATCTGATGTTCATAAGGCATTAATCTGTCGAACATCAGTATGTATATTCTTTAATTTTTTTTTTACCTTTATTGACACAAGGACCTAATTTCTAACTTTTTGTGCAAAAATGAAAACAAAATCCAAAAATGGCATCAATTTGAGATCTTGTCTTAAACATATTTAGATATCAGCTAAAGCTTTCACCAAAAGCAATATTTTGATTTAAAATGCATTTCACATAAATGTCAAAGTGTGAAAATGTGACATTGATTCTATCTTGAATGAACAAGTAAAATTTTATGCTAAACTTTTTGCCACGGAAGGCTGGGACAAAACAGCGTGCGAAAAACTTTGTCAGTTTATAATAGATAAGGTAAGTAAGGAAGATAAAGAAATGTTAGATAGAGATATAAATATCTGTGAAGTAGAAAAGGTACTAAAATTACTTAAACAGAACAAATCACCTGGCGAAGATGGTATAATATCAGAATTTAATATTTTATACTGGGACATAATAAAAGACGATTATTTAGTTTACTACAAGAAATCTTTAATGATACTATACTGAGTAACTCGCAACATAAGGGGATCCTAACCTTACTACATAAAGGAGGAGAAAGGGAAAATATAAAAAATTGGAGACCACTTACTCTACTAAATTGTGATTATAAAATTATTGCAAAGATTCTATCTGAAAGACTTAAGATAGTATTACCTAAAATTATTCATACCGATCAAAAAGGGTTTGTTAAAGGTAGAAATATAAGCGAGGCTAACCGAATGATTCAGGACATTATAGAATATATTGACAACGAAGATGAAGAAGGAATTATATTAGTTTTGGATCAACAAAAAGCGTTCGATAGGGTTGAATGGGAATGGATAGATTTTGTACTGGAGAAATTTGAATTTGGCGAGAAATTTAGAGCATGGATAAAAATGCTATTATACAATGCTACTACGTGTATTAAAACCAATGGATTTGTTTCAAAATACTTTTCGATTACTCGCTCCGCTAGGCAAGGGTGTCCAATACCGCCTCTCTTGTATATCATACAGGCTGAACCCATGGCATGTGCGATTAGGGGTAACATTGAAATAGAAGGATTAAAATTACCAGGAGAGGGAGGGAACTTTATAGAAACTAAATTATGTATGTTTGCAGATGACACCCAGGTATTTAATAAAAATGAAAAAGCTGTAGAAAATACTTTTAAAATTTTGTTCCTATACGAAAAGGCTTCGGGTTCTAGAATAAACTATGACAAAACAAAAGGCTTACTTTTAGGGGCTTCTAAAAGAAAACGATTTAAATTTGATAAAATAAAATGGATCACAGGCAATGTTAAAACATTAGGGGTGTGTCATGGTTATGAAATAGATGACGATGATATTTGGAAAAAAATAATAGATAAAGTTAAGAATTGTATACACGTATGGAAAAGTAGGAAGCTTACATTTACAGGTAAAACACTTATAGTAAAAAATATGATACTTTCTCTCTGTTCTTACGAGATCGAAATACGAGGAATTCCGGATAAATATACTAAAGAGCTAAATAATATAATTTGGAACTTTATATGGGACGGAAAAGTGAATCAGGTAGATAGAAATGTCTGCTGTTTGAATGAAATAAAAGGGGGATGGGTATGGTAAGTATAGATATGTTTATAAAAGGTAAACACATAAAACTTTTATATCGTTTAATGCAGGAGCCATTGGAAAGCTTGAATGCGATCGGTAAGTATTGGCTTCGGAAATTTGATGAAAAATATAATGATGCCTTTTTTGTATGTAAATATCAAGTTTAAATGGTTTAGATATGAACCAATTACCACAAGTTTATCAGAAAATTATAAATACGTGGTCAGGATTCATTCAAAATATTGATACACTTTTAAATAAAAGTGATATTTTAAATACAAGGATATTTGGAAACTCTTCTATTCTGTTCAAAAATAAACCATTGTTATACTCTTCTTTTTTAAAAAGCGATATCACAACTATCCAGGACATTTGGAATTCAGAAACTACAGATTTTATCAATGTGTTTATTAGCTGTAATGAAATTTATAGGAAGCTGATTGATCGGAGATATTGTATTTCCGAATTTTCAAAAATTAAACAGGCAATTCCTAAAGATTTCGTGCAAATATTGAAATCTTG